GAGGGGGGAGAGGTGATAATGGAATTACAATAGACGCTCCTTAAGACCGCTAAAGCGATTCTTTCCAAAAGAAAGGCCGAAAGCGGCCGGAAAACGATAACTCCTTCCGATTCGTTCGCATCTTCCCTATTATCGCGTCTCCGGTCCTTTCACCCGCGAAACACGGGTTGCTAATAGCGTAATACGGGTACCTGCTAACACTGGAAAAGTGATCAAAAAATAACCAATGTATAATTTTCTACAGAGATTTTATGTACTTACAACAGTCTATTTTTTAGACACTCGAGTGACTTTTAAAAAAATACATTACCACAACGCTTATGTGTTCTTAATTTTTCTTGCACCCCTGCACTCTTATTTCTTTGTTACAAATATCATATCTTAGTCGTCGGTAGTTCTAAAAAAATAGTGTTAAAAAAGAATTGTGAATCTCTTCTTGAACTCGAAGTGTTCCTTTAATGTTACAAAGTATGCACTTGTCTGGAGTCATAGAAATCTGTGACGTATCGCAGAAATATATTTAAATCAGGAGGATTTTATACAATTTATGGACAATTCGTTGTTCTCTTAAATAATTCGATGTTTGTTCCTGTTAAGTTCCAGGCCCATGTTTTCCAATTTACTATTTCAAAATAACACCAAAATTTGTCTCTGACATGAGATAGTTATATTTTTAAATTCATCGTCAGTCTTGCATATATTTCACTTCAAATATATCAACTAACTACCATTTCATCTAATTTCTATACATAAATTAAAAATAATACATAAATTAAAAATCAATAAGAAAAAGTCTATTTATAACTTTTGCAAATAAAATCAAAACTGTTCAACGTTTCACAAAATCAAGGCAATACCAAAATTCTTTCGATATATATATATTCATTATTAAGCAAATCTAACGTTGCAAGATGGAACATCCGGTAGTAATTTATTAGTCATCTTAAAATGCTGATCGCGTGTGGTTCGCAGGTTGTTCCCCGATGCCGAACTTCGATATTAGTTCAAGAAGTCATCATAAACATTTTGGCAAGCAGCCTCGACGTTCTTTGGCTAAATTCAGAAGGCAAAGGTTTGCCAAGAAGTCGAACGAGAACCTGTTACGACGTCCATAATCGGCTTTACAATGGTTTACTGGATAATCACGAGGCAAATCGCGAGCATGTTGTTTTTTTCACCAGGCCAATTTTTCCGGAAATTTTTCTTTTCCACCAGCTGTGAAAATTTATTTTCGTAATACTTATGCGCATCCTCTCCCCCAGTGAACGTTTACACTGCATTAAAACCTCGAAAGCTGCTGTTTCTTTGCACCAAAAAATTTTTCTGACCTTTCCGTTTCTGTGATGAAAAATTTTTACATTTTCATTAAATGCATGAATATTATCATGCGCGCGTCTAAAAAAATTTTTAAACTTTTAGAGAAGGATTTCTATCGAAAAATTTATCGCTTACCTACGTCCGCTTTCGGAGAAAACTAATGCGAATTATATTCTTTGATTGCAATTGATATAAACCTTTGAATTTTTAACGCTGCAGCATTCTTTTCGAAGAAACCATTGTTGTGTCCATATTCAAAGGGAGAATAACGCAAATATCATGTTCTTTGATGTTGAAAGATAGTAAATATTTCGTTTGAACGAATTGCAGGAAATATAGAACTTCTCTTTTTCATGTTCAAATATGAAGAAGCGTTGACGTATACAGGGAACGAGGCAGAATTGGATAATTTTTGTCAGAACCGCGACGTATTAAAGCGAGGAAAGATACGAGGAAAAAATATTCGAAGTAATCTTATTATATGGTTAAACGCATAAATGTGTTACGTCGTAAATACTTTCCGTGTGAAAAAAAAAGAAAAAAATAGAGAAAAATGTATCTGTAAACAAATATTTCACAATCGCAAATAATGAATAATATTTGAATGACTCTAATTATTATAAGAAATAAAATTATTTCTTATTATTCATTGACCGATCACACTGTAAAAAACGTAATTATATAATTACTAAAAATTACGAAAATTCACATTTTTACGAAGACTTTTATTTTATCACCGGTGAATCTCGATGCGTTTTCGCATCGTCAAGTTTCGTTCATAAATTGCTTGCCTCGTAATAGAAATGTTCGTTTCAACCTTGCTTCCTAAAAACAGAAGATCGACAGCCGCCTGTCATCGACTTCTGCAAATCACCGTGAAATACAGCCTCTCCTGTCAAACGCGCTTAGTGATCCATTCGTATGCCGAAGATATCCGAGGACAATGGCGAAATGTATGGCTAGTATACCACTCATAGTGTGCTAAAAATTTCACGCGTCACCAACGAGCAATGTGATTTATCGATGTCAAAAACTTCGAACCACAGCGTGCACGCAATAAGCCTCTATTTTCATTTGGAAAATTCTCCGAAAACTACTTGGTAACTCGCTTTTCGGATTTTCATCGATGGGGAAAAATAGAGGGAAAAATGGCGGAAAATAATCGACGTGTAGTGACCGGAATGGGGGAAAAAATTCAAAGGATGTACGAAAGTAAAACCTTTGAAACAACAACAATAATATAAATTTTTAAAAGTTCTCTTTATGTTTTCTAATTTCTGTTACACTTGTCGTTAGTATAATAGAAACCAGTTCAATGTAATCGTAATCCTTATTTATTACACTTATCGTAACGTGAAACGAATTTTTCACGAAATGTACACCATTGTCGAACTTTTTTATTCCTATCTTATGATGTATCTAATTACATTGACTAATATAGTGTAATTTATTATTTAAGAAATTATTACGTGTTCGATTATACTTAATTATTTTCCGGGAAATACTTTGGACTTGTACCAATCGAAGAAATTTGTATGTATTCGTATGTGTAACTGTATATTTGCAGATTTGTAAAATTGGCCCAAAAATATGATTTGTTTTACATAGTTTCCTTCATTCAAATTAATTTGAACGAAATCAGGAAAAGTTATGTAACACATTGATGTCATTCCAAGAATTCTTTTCCGCAAATTTGCACAAATAAATGACAACTGTTCGAAATCAAATACTGCTGACAATAACTAATAATAATAATTATAACAAATTCGATCGTGCATTTCTTTCGGATTTGCATCTTCGGCATTCAAAATTATACGACAAACCGTATGTACATTTTATCGTATTTCATCGACATTTCAAACATTTATGAAGCAATATTTGTCGATTAAACACGAAATTTAGTATAACTCATCGATCTAATTTAACTTTTATTGAACAATCTCCTCGAAAGACAGAGGCAATCGATGGAGCGACGTAGACAAATAGGGGACCAGACGAAACGTGAAAGAGACCTTCTAAATGGACAAAATGAAGGCAGAAGAAAATTGTGAAACGTAGAAAATTGATACAAATGGCCTTCGCATGGGGATTTGCACGTGCACGGAAGATCAAGGAAAATCAAGCGAGAATCGAGCGGAAAGATCGTTCTCGTCCAATTTTACCCGGAGGATCGATAAACGATCCATCGATAGTCACCGTCCAACGGCTAATCTATCAGAACAGCCACGTCTCTGTCTCTCTCTCTCTCTCTCTCTCTCTCTCTCCCTTGACGGAAATCCAGAGGTTTCTACCCTCAATTTAGCTACCGCTTCTCGATATTTCGCCGGCGTGGCGAAAAGCTTTCCATTGGGCCGGTTGAATTGAAAGCAGCTCGACCGGGAAATCTTTCGATATTGCTTTATCGTCCATAAAAATGGCTGTTTACAGCCTGGCCATCCCCGAAACCCCGCGCATG